AAAGAGCAAAATATACTTTCACGCTTTGTAAATCAACTTGGATTATTTTTCGGACTATGTGTTCTTCAAATAAAGATATATTTACTGGAAACCGTGACAGTTCACATCCATTAAAACCACTCGGAGTCTAGAGCAACTAGGAATTGACCAACGAGACGGAAGTTTGAATTTCACTACTTGACACTAGGCGAATCCTAAATAATTTGTCTTGAATTGTTCATGTAGCTTATTCCCACACGAAACATCCAGGTTATAACATCGACCTCTCCCCTTCGGCAGGTTCTGCTTACGTGATAAGCGCTTTACTAGTAGCATCCCAAAAATTGAGACAACATAGTGTTTCTTTCCAGAGCACACTTATTTCCAGATTCTGTAAGTAGTTGCCAGGGCATTCCTCACACTAAAACGCGTCATTCTTTTCAATAAATTGGAAAATGTTTGGGACCGATTGAAAAGCCATTGTTTCAGACAGAGGTCTGGTAAACAATCGGTGGATCAATTACCGGGCAACGTTTCGCTTTTAACATAAAAGCTTCGTCAGGCCAATTGAGTGAGTAAGTAGGTTGATTGGGTTTTGAGGCAGTCAGGGAGCCAACCCGTCAGATTCCTTAGGACTAGTGACTTGACCAGCACAGGGTGTTCAGTCTGATGTTCCTGTTTATTGATTAGTGGGGATGATTAAGTTTTACGATAGATTGGTTAGGGGGGATTCGTCTTTATGATGAACCCGGATTTTTGCCCTTGCTTTTTCAGTCTAGGATACCTCGATGGAAAATCCCTCTTGGGGTCGTTCACAGATTTGGGGTGCTTGGACAATTTGATTTGTGGATGGGGGTGGGGTGGTCAATTGGATCTAACTGTAGTTGGATTCTGTACACTTAGACCCATATCATTTCGCAGATAACTGCATACCGCCTCGTATCATCTCGGATGATTTAATACCGCTCTCCACACGTCTGCAATTTATAACCCCTCTATTCCATTCACGCTGGGATGCTTGGCGATTTCCACCGCCTCGGCCACCAGTCGCTGTGGCCTGGCGAAGCTTCTGTGTCAAAAGCGAAACGTTGCCCAGCAACAAATCCACCGATTGCTTACCAAACTCCTCTGGAACGTTGCATGAAAATAGTTTGAAAGCTGGAATGCCCCATCGACTGTGGCATGTACTGACACAAATATACTCGCCACCGGCAAAAACGAACCTTGGCACAGCTCCACTTCAATGTCAGTTATATCTGAAGCGTGAAAGTGCGGTTATTTTTCTCCAAAATGGAATTGACATTGGGATAATATGCTGGTTTAAATACTAAGTGCAAGGGGTCTTGGTCGTCACTTATTGCTAATTTTTTAACTTCATATTGGATTTGGAGAGAGATGGACCAAGTGGTTAGAGCGCGAATTTACTGACCGGAAGGTCCGTGGTTCGAACCCGACCTCTGCCTCTCGACTTCCTCTGTCTAGGCTTGGGCAACCTGACAGTATCCCAGCCCTCGTGCCTTCTTCGTGCGCCATGGCAGCTAGGCACCGATAGAATGCTACAGCTGAACGATTTATTTTTATTTTTTATTGGATTTATAGATTTCAAAGTGTTACATTACGAGTTCGTGTGTTTATTTAACCTCGCACGCGTCCCATTTAGTAAACGTCTCAGAGAGATTCATGAGACAATCTCGTTGACATAGCCTTTTGTGAACAAACTCAAACTTCATTGGTCAAACAAAAAAGTAGGGAGAATAATGCAATCTAATGTATAATAAATTTTATAGACTCTGCGGTCTAACAGTTGACTCAACAATTGATCGATTTACACAATCACTTCATCCACACATTGATGTATTTTTGTCTTTAATCCACATGAAGCATAAAACTAGTTGCTTTGAAATATATCATAAAACATACTCATCATGGTGTTTTTTTGATGGTTTAGAAAAAACAAAGCGCTGGAATAAATATTTGCCACACAGCTAAGTTTATATAAACCTTTACGAACCAGTTCGTCACGAAACTGTGTGAATTCAGAATGCAGGTTTCACCTAGACTGGTTGTTTCATATCACTCACTGGTTCCACATTTTTCTGTTTTGATTAAATGCAGGAAATTTCAGAATAAGAAAATTACTATTCAGAAGCGTTCAGAAAGACAAGGAAATACAGTAACGCTGGACTTAACTGCTAAATTATAGAAAACAATCGCAAAAGATTTTCTGAAAATTATTCGACTATACTTACTATTCAAAAAACGCTTGGTCACAGAGTCAGTCAAGTGAGATCAAGCAAGTTATAACATTCAAACTCCAGGCTTCATCGGCTAGTCAGCTACATGCTCGGATAAATGTTGATTTTAACCCACTAGTTAGTGTCTCTCCTCATTTCTACGACTCTTGGTTTTATGGCGTTGTTAGTATAATGATGAGAAACGTCGAGTTTGTTAGGAAAGAGGCGTATTATCAACGGAACCTCACAAGAAGCATACTTGTCTCTCTGGATTTCGGATCAAGCGAAACATTTCTGTGTCACAAAATCATTAAACATGTTTGTCCATAGACGCAGGCGGTTACTGATGCTAGAATATATAGCCCATCATATTTGTTGATGTTTCGTATATGCGTGGGGCTAAAATTCTTTGTTTAATAAGCAGATGCGTTTAAATATCTAGTGTGAACAATGTGGAGAAATTTGTGATAACAATACACTACTTTTGTCATGTTACTGTGTCTTACCCAGGCAAGTGAGATATTCGTCGGAATCTCGTGACCGGACAGATGCCACTGAAAGAAGAGTAAATGACCCGTTGATAAACTGTAACCCGCATCGAAAACGTTCATCGAGTCTCATTAAAAACAATACACTTACGTAGAACAGCCGTGGCAACAACAAGAACATATCCTAACATCGTGGCAGACGCAAAGTGCAAACTGTACGACGAGCGTGTAATTGCCTTCACTTTTATTCATTCCACAGTTTTGACCTTGAAACACTGTCGGTCTGTTATCAAACTGGTTTAGATAGCAAACAATGCATTCGCGTTTTAATTGGAACATAACGCAGTCTGTCTTTTTATGTTGCCAATCAAAACTAACCCCTCCTAGCTTCCGGGAGCCAAATCGTTTGCATCCATAGTTTTGACAGTCGCATGTATTTGTATTCTCATCTGTTCCACCCACGAGGACGTGAAAGCCCCAGACCCCAAGTAAGGCTGTAGTCGCTTTTGTTTTGTCTCTTCAGGTCAATTTCCGTGTTCCGCAAATATTTTCCAACATAAACGCAAGGCTGAACCTCCCTTGATAGATACTGAATGTGTGTGCAAACCAAACATCTTGGTTTGATAACTTACATTTACGGTTCCAGCGTACCTGTTCCGTTGCGAAGCAATCGTTCATGTTATTTTTCGTTGGGTGCATCCTGTAGGCAGTAGACAACCTCCACTATGCCGCGTGGGTCAAGACAAAGAAAGCTTTGAAGTGTATGAGATCTTCAGATTAGAAAAGTGGAAATGAGAGCACAGAGACTTGACTGGTCACTACATTCTGATATTGTTGATTGAAACGCACCTAACACATAACATCGGCAGTCCAACTCATCTGAGAGTAGTGATTTCGCTATTTGAATGCCTGAACAACCCAAGATTAGTTGAAACTGCAGTTCAAATTATAGGAGTTTACTTTAACAATGAATGGAAATCCTGTATACCAAACGTCAGCTAGGGTGCTTGGATGAGGCACACACTTTTTGAGCTATTTTTCCCTCCTGGCGATATCAGTCGAATTTCTGAAGTCCCCAAAGCTCACTTCACTTGGGCACGCGAAATGCATCCCATAATCTCCTAATTGGCACCTATATACAGTCCTACAGACATTGGTGTAACGGTGATGCTACTGAGAAGTCCCCAAAGCTCACTTCACTTGGGCACGCGAAATGCATTCCATAATCTCCTAATTGGCACCTATATACAGTCCTACAGACATTGGTGTAACGGTGGACGCTACTGATGAAGCAAACGAGTAGTATGTAGTTTTCTCGTAGCTCTGCCTAGCGTCTAATGGAAGGCCTGGTTTATCACGGAACATGTGGACTGCTTTACACCATCCCTTTACAACTGCGAGAGAGGTAGACAATATCCTCGAAAGTTCAAGAAGGTGCGTGAGGATGTTTCAGTCTTTAAAAACAAGGTGCATATGAGATGTTTACTTTCCGGTCCATTAGTTTGTAACCGTTTGGTTGATGTTTGCTGATAAACGACTTCGCAGCTAAGGGCTTCCCTTCTTACACTGACGGTGATATTTACAGTGACGGCTTACAACAAAACCAAAATGCAATTTTTATTTACTCAATAAAAACCAGGCATCTCAATAGGTTTTGAATTCGTGAAAAGTGTTCTAACTTTCTGATCCCCCCTCACCACTAAACCACACTGAGGCTATGGCATTCGGCGGGCAGACTTCATCAGATATCTTTGCTTCATTCACCATTGTCCTATCAAATCAGCATTCGAGCTCCCTGTGCAAAGTAAAATTACTCAGGCTCATATATTTACAGTCATACTCCAAGGCAACTTCATTCCACTGAGAGACAATCTTACTCTCTTTTGCTATTTAAATCTTACCTAACTACTGAAGGTACTTGACCAAGATCGGTTGCTTCGTATCGGTCAGAAAATATGGACGATTTGAGTGGCTAAGCTGTATACAATTACCACTACTTCCCACAATGTCGTCTAAAGTGCACATACACGATGAGAAGCGGCAGAACGATCCCACCAAGAACCCCCACGGGATTCAGGCTCTATACTCGAAGCAACATAACTCGTTAATCATCTATTTTATTTTTCATGAAACAATTCTCGGTTTCCTTTGGATTCCTGAGTAAAAGCCCCACTCCACTCACTTGCGTTATTACTGGCCCCTGAGCAGCGTCCATTTCCTTTTCCAATACATTCTATTTGTCCCATTGTTTAGTTCATTCCTTGAACGATATGCATATTTTCTTCAATCGTTTTTACAGAGCTTCGGAACACCCAACGCACAGGTCTGCCGTCGGAACTGAATATTCTTGGATCATGTGACCTCCTGGCTGGTAGTTTGAACATGCAATCGTCCAGCCATGCGCGGTAGCGCGATAAGCTTGCACACAGACGGAATAGAGCGCCAGCCATCCTTCATTCACGGAATTCATGTCACGTGGCCACAACTTGATTGACTGGCCCCTCGAGTGACAACTCCTCAGATGTAAGATTTACTCGCTGGCAGAATTTCTATTCTTCCTCTTAGCTACTTATTGATTGTCTATGGTAAGAAGAGATTCGGGGATAACTGTTGAAGATTTCGTCCTGTTAGTGGTGTTGCTTCACCTTCGTAAGATGCGCACTGCTGAGGAATTCCAATATGACTGGAACTACTGTGCAGTGTTTCTCGGCTTTTCAGCCTGGGTTCACTGACTGTGCGTAGCATCCACTGTAAACTGCAAAAAGATATTACGGTCGATAAAGGATTTGAATCCTAATAAAGGCATTGAAAATTTAATCAAATGTGCGTTCTGTGATATGAAAAGGTGATTTTATGGTAGTGAAAGGAAGAAAGCCTTCGCTGCGGAGTTATTTATTAGAAAAGTTCAAGTGGAGAGTTACAGACCATTGGACAGGGAAGCAAAACTCTCATATACATCCTGTTTACAAAACATAATATCCATCTTCCCCTTGAACGCGTCTTCCTGAACTTTCCTGGATATTCATTAACTACTACCCAAATGCAACAAATGCAACTCCACAAATAGATCTCACTTTTCAAGAGACACGAAGCGGATTGACAGGAAAATATACTACTCGCATGTCCCCATCAGTAGTATGCACCGCTACACCGGTACCTTTTCATGAGTATAAAACTACACCACTTATCTTAGGTAAGCAAAAAATGAAACATGAAATACACTTTTACTTTACAAAGGTATGCGTCAGGCAAACGTGTATAAAAACTCTGAGCAATGAAAGAAGGATTCCCCAAAAACAGGACCTTCCTGTAGCACTGATAACAGGAAATTTGCGACCACTTCTGGATGTTTCAAATCAAATCCCGAATAAGTTTTTCTGCTACCCTCCTACACTGTACAAACCAACAAAATAATTTGAGGCGTTTGTTGTGCAACCTGGCTGGTTAATGGAATGGCATATTTCTAATTTTTACTGTGGATATATTTTATAAATGGTTTTCGGACTACGAGATGCAAACTCCCGATGCGGCAGGCACAAAGACGAAATGTATGTTATATTAACACATGAATATACCGTGGTCAAACCGAAAGCAAGTATGTTGCGTGGTTCATCTACCACCCATGACGTACACAATGCCTACAAAATTAGAGGCAACCAGGAAAGCCCTCTGGGTTTTGCGGCATTCAGTGATTCGAACACAAAGTCTTTAACATTCCTCATCAAAACAGTTTGCTCACTCCTTGAGTTAGCCGAATCTATAGAAAACGAGTTAGCCTAGTCTCGTTTGCAGACCATGTGTTTTCCCCAATCAGAACAAATGGTATCATGCTATCGCCGACCTTCATCCCCAGTGTGCCTTATATTTGCTGACATATTCACAGCACAATCTCTGATTTCCGCAACCGCCCAAGTCTTTCTTTTAACTGACAGGTTTCCAACTTAATCGGTAAACGTAGAATGTTAAAACGTCTGAGTATCAGAGGTACGTTGGCTAATCTTACACTTAGCGGTTTGCGTTGGTAGTGCTCCAGCATCCATATCAAATGTGGAGTTTACTGTTTTATAATACCACAGAAAAGTGCTTGCCTGAAAGACTGTAGCAGCATCTAATCCAAATGTTGGTGAAAAATCAGGAAGGATTGTGGGTACAGGGCTCAATACAGTAACCTACAAAGCGTTTGAGAATGTGCCGCACGAAAATATTTCGTCTAAATCGCATTATGGTCAGTCCTACAATGCAGTGTGTGCTGTTCATCCTCATGCGTTTCTACGCACCAAACCACGTGCATGTTGAATTCATTGCAATTGTATTAACGGCGTGGAAACTTTGATACTTGCACAAAAGCATTAGGCGCTATTATGTTAAGATAAATCTTTCCATTCTCGTGGATTAGTGATGGCGGAAAATACCCACAATACTGGTGAAACAGGACTCTCCAAGAGTTAGACACTTGTTTACGTGAAATCGGATGCGCGCTAAACTACTCAAACACGTACCATATTGATTTTTCCGACATGTCAATTACTGTTTTATAATACCACAGAAAAGTGCTTGCCTGAAAGACTGTAGCAGCATCTAATCCAAATGTTGGTGAAAAATCAGGAAGGATTGTGGGTACAGGGCTCAATACAGTAACCTACAAAGCGTTTGAGAATGTGCCGCACGAAAATATTTCGTCTAAATCGCATTATGGTCAGTCCTACAATGCAGTGTGTGCTGTTCATCCTCATGCGTTTCTACGCACCAAACCACGTGCATGTTGAATTCATTGCAATTGTATTAACGGCGTGGAAACTTTGATACTTGCACAAAAGCATTAGGCGCTATTATGTTAAGATAAATCTTTCCATTCTCGTGGATTAGTGATGGCGGAAAATACCCACAATACTGGTGAAACAGGACTCTCCAAGAGTTAGACACTTGTTTACGTGAAATCGGATGCGCGCTAAACTACTCAAGCACGCACCATATTGACTCATTTCAACGTGTCGAAATCACAGTGAGCACTGGACTTAGATACACTTTGATCCTAAAGTTATTCACCAAATTCAGACAGGTCAAACGTAAAACTTGTTATCATAAGCGACATGCACGTAACCTCATCTACTGTACAGGATGAAATTAGCATTAACTCATTGTGTGTAGGAGGAGCTACCACATGAAGTCATGTCAACGGGCTCACTGACCGAAACGACTAAGATTTGAGCAAATCTCGTTTTCGAGTTTGGATCATTTTACAGAGTTTGGATCATTTTACAGGAATGAATGCTAATGCTCTGCCGTAGTCGTCAGATTTATTCTTTCCACTTAATATCATGAATGCAGTGCTCTCAGATACGAGGCGTGTGACCTGTTTCATCATTCTGTCCTCAACATCCGGTGTTTCCGTCAGTCAATTCACATCGATTATCGTGTACAACTCACGTGCCACGCTTGCGTTGCTTCCAGCTGCTACAGCTTCAAGCACCAAAAATAATGGAAGACAGCGGCAAGTAGAGCCGGGCATTGTAGGCTATGATCTAGGAAGTCGGGAAATGTTGAAACTATCGAATTGTCTGTAAAACTACAAATTGGGAGGCTGTACGACCAAAAATAATGGAAGACAGCGGCAAGTAAAGCCGTGCATTGTAGGCTATGATCTAAGAAGTCAGGAAATGTCGAAACTATCGACTTGTCTGTACTTGGCTGTACTGCTGGCGCACGTGCGTCACAGGTCATGTAAGCGAGCCCCGTCTGTCAGTCGCAATAATCACTGACTGAATGAGTCCTTGAGTCCACATCCAACTAGGGGACAGTTTCCAGTTACGGCTTTAATACTTCGCTGTTGTGTCATAGTCTGCTCACCTGTTGGGCTTTTCTACTCATTATAGAACCGGACAAATGAGTTCTCTGAGGTGAAATTTAATCTGACCGCCGCGCAAAGCTCGCGGTTCTAATTAGGAAAATAATACGAATCGCGAAGCGCAGTGTACATATCCTCACTGACAAACAAGTTGGCATCACACGGCTGTTATAACATCAAGAGTCAGCATAATTTATCCTGGACCTTAAGATTCGTGAAATGATCTTCATCTCGACTGGTCTTCGATCTACATGTTTCCGCTTGATTCTACATGGAAAGCAACAATTTTCAGGTGTCAACCATATTCTAAACGGCATGGCAAGATAACAAAGACTCGTTAATTTCTATTATCTCTGTAGTAGATCAATATGGTCTTCGTATTCAAGGTTCGTCATCGAATATTTCAGGAATACTTCCACCTCCGTAATTTTGAGATGGGCGGGAGAGTAGCACAGTTGAGAAAAAATGGCGACCTTGCTTCGCATCTTCGTATGTGGTGAGCTCCGGCAGACGATTGCCGGGTACATGTGTGCGTCCAAAGGAACTGGCCTACGATGTCTGTATGAAACGTAATAGGTTTGAAAAGACATAACTGGCCCCATCGTAGTATCTTGCGATCAACGGATTTAAAAGTAGTTGTAGTGGTCGAGGAAACGATCGCTAATGGACACTTGAGTGTGTGAGGTTTTCAAAATAATCATCAGGAATTTTGTCTCGTTGCTTTGAAACAACGACATTTTACTGAATGTTCGTTGCCCCTGGAAGACTAGTGTCAATATTCCAAAGGTTTCAAACGTTTCGCTGAACAGGTCCAAGTGAAATGCCCGTCGAAATGTCCAGCCAATTACTTAACACAATGAGTTTACAAGTCATTTGAAATAAAGTTTATTTTACAGGACGTTTGACGGAACTTTCCCTTTCCGGTTGGCTGCGCAAATCAAAGAGTGTACTTGCTTCGGACGAGATGCTTATCCATCTTAAGCCTTTACTATCCGACCGTTCTCTTTTATTCTGTAAGCTTCTGAATATTGGATTTGTGTAGTGTCTGGTTGCAGGAAAGCTTATCGTGTCATCCGCGAGAGTTGATTCGGAAGTATGAGGAACCAGCATACTCCAATCCAATAATCCTCTAAAAAAACCTTTTCCATCGACCTGGCTGTGTTTCCAGACAAATATCAGAAAGATCAGATCGAAAAAACTGTCAAAAATGATGGTCCAAGTAACCTGTCCTAGTAACCCAATTAAAAATATAAATGGTAAGCCGGTGGTATATTCTCATATTGTTGCATAAAACCGGGTATCCTAAACGGTCGCTTTTTGATGAAGTAACGACATCAAATACAGATAAAAATGAAATACACGTGTAAAACACGTGCAAAAAAGCAGGGCTGGTAACAGGGGAAACTCAACCAGGATCTGTTAAAAGCGGTGGTTAGTCCTCCAAGGCAGTGTAAACTCTTTTGGGTGATGCTTTTGGTGACAGGAAATCGGTTGAATGGCGATCGCCTCTGACGTTGCGAGCGATTGTTGTACTAAAACGAACTGGTGGCATTTGATAAATCAG